TTTTTTTTTTTTTTTTTTTTCTTTTTAGATGAAGCCTGATATACTATACTCTACTTGGCTCAGATTTAATACTTGTGTTTAGGCAGTTTGTGCACCAGGCTTAAAACCTATTAAGCCTGTTGGGTCCTTCCCAGCAAGAATTATGTCTATCTGTGATGGGATCTTGGATGACACTAAACACTCCCACTTGCTGCAGATGATCAGTACGTGATTGCCAATTCTTTACATGGGAAAACACATCATACCTCAGGCCAATTCTTGAAGATATCCATTGCTTTGAAGCAAGAATTAGGCTATGTCTGCCCATTAGTGATATCTTGGAGCTATGCAGGTATTTAAAACTCCTGTGAATAAACAATCCTACAGACCCTGAGCCTCAGATCTGTCATGGGGCTGGCACAGTGGTGCAGGCTGTAATTCGTGGTCCTTAGTGAGGCACAGGGAAAGCTGGGGATCTAGGTGTAGGAATGCACTGGTGAGAGGTGAGGAATGCCTGTGTTTGCTCAGCAAGAAATTTGAAAGAGTTTTCTAAATGTGGCACCTACCTTCAGGCCTGCGTATGACTGGGAATCACGGTTGAAATTTTCTCCTTTTGGATTTTGAAGGCCTTGGTCATTCTTTCTGGGCATGGCTAGCTTGTTTTCTTTCATGAAACTGCTGGTTGTGACCTTGACTTATTTTTTTGAGAAAATTTTGATCTCTGGTCACCAGCATCTTCTGGTCTCTGGCAATCACATTGCACGCTATACTATACTCCACAATAGATATTTATGGAAATTGCTTGCAGGTCTACATTTCAGTGTTGGAAGGTCTTGTGAGTAACCTCTAGCCATGAGTTGGGTCTGCTACCCTCGTGATTAGACCACTGCTGGAAAGGGTGGCATGGGCCACTCTCTTCCCTCTGCTTGAAACTGTGCAGGTAGGAATTTGTAACTGAACTGCTTGCAGGTGGAGATCCTGGCCTGGGCTCTGGTTGCTTCTAGCCTGTGGAGGAGGGAGGTGATCTGTGTCCTGCCCCCCTCATTAACCTCTTACATTTTGCATTCAACAATAAAATGCAGGCAAAAAAAATAAATTGAGGGGAATTTTAAAATTAGCGATGCAGTCACTTTGGTGTGGGGTAACAGAATCCCCTATGGAGGCCGCGCTCCCTTGCGTGTTGTCGTTGCACTGATCCTCCCTCCCCATCCCACATGCACACGCATTGTAGTCGTGGCTTTTGCTGGGCTCAGATACGCAAACCTCACCCTGTGTCTGACCTGCGCTTAGTAGCAGGGCCGCATGGGGCAGGTAGTCCATGGCACTGTCTGACACCAGGAGGTCTCCAGGGAACACCTCGAGTCCCGGCAGACTCACTACCACGGAGCTACGCCTGCGCTCGGTTGATCTGTGAGACGCAACAACAACACACGTCATCTCTCCCCGCTCGTAGCTGCAGAGGAAACTTCTGAAGCGCTCCTTGCTGGTACAGGAGGAAATGAGCTAAAAAACCAAATCACAGCGGCTATGACATAATGTGTTAAAGGAACAATGAGTAGAAAATTTCAGTGATCGACAACAAATACCTAATTATCTTT